GCAGCTGCCGGATTTGAATCGTTTGAACCTCCGCAACAGGTGGCAACACGCTGCCGCCAAAAGGGAATGTACACCATTGGTGTGCATGTGCTGTGTGTGTGCGTGCCGGACCATGTGGAGAATTGACGCTTTTGTATCGATCTTCTGGAGGGCTTTGTGTGATTGAGGTACAGGGGGAGAGCGTGGCGCCGGGTCTTGGTAAGTGGCAGCAGGAATGTCATTCCCTCGGCAACAAACAACCTTGAAGTACGCCTTTGCTTTTCCTCTGCAATTAGCGATACAATGGGAACTCTGCCCCCCGCCGCCATGGCGTAGGAGTGATGTTCCATGTTAAATATAGCCCGCTGAGCCGGTGACATTCACTAAAGATGCAGGCCTGGGTAACACGCGCAGTCAACCGCGATCAACAGATCGCTCGGCCGGCGCTACATAGAGGAGAGCCGCGTGAAGGGGCCCCGTCTGGCTACGGTGTCGCAGCCGCGTTGTGACGGAGACCTCTGCGAGGATTGATTTGGTCCAAGGCCACGCTCGGGAGGCCTGCGATGCTACTCGCTTGCTCACGTGTGCGGGTCACGCGAGCGGGATGGGGGACCCATGGTTCTGCCTACGTTCTGGCTTTTTTCTATCCCTCAGACGAGGTTCACGGTTTGGTGCATTCGTTGCGCTGCAGATAACGCGGCGGAGGCAGCATCGTGGGGGCTTAAATCCCGTGACTTGCCTCCGCCTGCCCCTCAGCGCTCATGCAGATGTGACGGCGCTAACATCTATTATGGGAGCGGTAAACCGCACACTCGGCTTTGAACGTAATCCTTCCATTAAGCCACCCTCCTTAATAAATCCTTCACTGCGCTGCACGTTTTGTCATGCCGGTTTGCGATAGTGTCGTTTTGGGCATCACTGGCGGCTGGGGTCGCTCGGTGAGTATCGAGCGTGATTTGCCGCTTTGGCAAATGAAATGAATTGCGACGCGAAATGCCCTTAGAATGGACGTGCCTTTCAGTGATGGGAAAATAAATTGATTGGCAGCCTTGTCGCCGAGAGACCCTGGGGTGCAAATGTTTTTTGCGGTGGCAATTACTCAACTTGACGGAGCAATTTTTTGCGTGTTTAACTGTCATCGGCAAACCGTATGGTAAGTCGCTTAATATGCATGTCGTTAATCGAGACAATGTAGGCAGGCGTCATTGCAAACAACGAGGCTGCCAGCTTTTGCGATTAAGCTGTGGCATTGGCGCGTGCGTGATAATTATCGGGACATTGCAGAAGTTGCTGGGCGAATCCGAGGGGGGCTCTTTAATTCCCCCGTGTCGAAGCGCCTAGGAGCCGGCACTGCCGAGAAACGTGGATTGCAAAATCCAGGCAGCCGCCCCGTTATGCATGCGGCCGCACTTTGCTGCGGTAACGTGTGCAGGTGGCCTCAGCTGCATCACCAGCGATCGCGTTAAAAAAATGAGGCTCTCTAGCTATTTGTTTTTCCAGATATTTGGCCTTGTTGAAATATGCAGACTAAATTTGTAATTAAAAATATGACTTTATTGGCATGCGCCAAGCAGTGTGGGTAATAAAAGGGCTGCCGAAGGACTTCCCAAGTGGTTGAAATTATACCTTCCAGAGACGCTTTGCTGACTGATGGAGTTCCAGAAGGACATTAATTCTTCGCATTCATGTAACCATTCAATATACCACATGTTCATGGATGTCCCTTGCTTTGAGAGTCAGGAAAGAGACGTACGATTTTTTTGTGCGGGGCAGTCCCCTGCTGACTATACTTGGAAAGATGTAACCAGACAATGGTTTCCATGCATTATAAACGTTGCTGAAAAACATTGCTCGCGATGAAAACCGTTTTGGCTGTTGAACTTCGTTAGTGACATTCTTGTTCACATCGCACCAGAAGGCCACGGAGCCTTTTTTTACCCCGAACGGCGGCGGCACTTTTGTTAAATTGGTGGCAAGTCGCGAAAAGACATTAAACGTCAAATCAGAAATCTCAGCCTTTGGCAAATCAAATGAAAAATGTGAAAAAAAAACCGGTTAAGTTTTGCGATGCTTTACAAGAAAAAAAACAAATCTAATTAAAAATGAGATTGCATTGACGTGTAAAGTGGAGACACCTTGGTGCATGCTCTGAATATGGCAATCGCAGCGGCACAAGTTTGGGTCATGTGTGCCGATTTAGTGAGAGACGTATTCTCACTGTGAGCAATGGTGGACTCTCTCAAGAAAGTATATTTAAAAGTGCAGTGGGTCCCTCGGTTAACGGTATTAATTTGGTTCCACGAAAACCATCGTTAATTGAAATGATCGTTAATAGAATATAGGAAACGCATGTTGAAGGCTTAATTTGTTCCAAGACGATAGGAAGTCAACCTTTTTCACCCTAAAAACAATAGTTTATAATATTTAAACACCCAATTTTAATAAACGTTATAAGAACATATTGAATCATTAATATTAATAGAAACATGGATAAATAATGAATAAACACAGCATAAAAAGGTGCACGAATAGAGCAGTAATTAAATATTCTTACCTTAGGGGTTGATGGAGAAGTTGTGGTGGGAGAACGTGAATTTTTGGGAGAGTCGCCTTTTAAAAGGGCGTCGCGGATTGGCTGAGGTCTGCTGAGTCCACTTAGGAGCGCTCCGATTGGCCAAAATTGGCGGCCGCGTGATATCATAAGTCGAACATTTATTGTTCATAGAAACAATGGGGGGACCTGTTGATTTAAAGCTTTCGTGACTGCAGGGATTCATATTCTTGGTTCTTTCGGTAAAGTCACGTAGAAGGGAAACAATAAAATAATACAAATATAAAACAATAAAATTCTCACGACGTTTCGACTGCAACACAAGCAATCATCATCAGGTGTGAAAACCACAGCAAATTTTCTTGCTGTGGTTTTGGCGTGAGGGGGGGACGCCCTTCCCCCTAGCATTGGCTTGAGCAAGCAATTGCAGGGGTTTAACCTTTACCCCCCCCCTCGCCCCACATTGGGATATTTCCCCCCTTCCACTGGGGTATGTGCTCAGTGCAAGTGAGCACACTCCTCTATTACCGGCACGACAAAATCCGTTGCATACAAAGGTGACGATGCTGGGAGGTCTGCACCCGCGGATTCATGAACTCGCCGGTTTTTCACTGCCACTTGCTACGGGACAATGTCGCACGTCCAACTCGCTTGGGCTCGTGGCTTCATGAACTTGCCGGTTTTTCACTGCCACTTGCTACGGGACAATGTCGCACGTCCAACTCGCTTGGGCTCGTGGCTTCATGAACGCACCGGTTTGCACCGCCACCTCCGTGGACGCCTCGTTTGCCCGGTGGGGTTCGAAGTCTCGGAAGCGTGCAAAAATCCACCAACCCTTGCATCATCTCAGGGCCACAGAACACTCATCGCACGATTGCTACGGGAAAACATCACGCATCCGACTCACTGGGGGTCTGAGGTATAGGTGGATGTTTGAACGATGTCGCTTATGGGAATTTCTGTTGGAAATGACAGTGGCGCCAGGCACAATTACTGCACCGGATGTGGGCGGTTAATTGATCAGGGTGAATGTGTGATGGTCGGATATGCGACGTTGTACTGTACTTTGCGGTTGGGTGGTGCTGCTGGCATAGCGGTGAAATCGGTCAGGTGGTCACAAGTGCAGATCATCACCTTCCCAAAGGGTTGATAAATTAAGTACCACTTTTTGTCAAATTCAACATTGGTTGTCCTCTAGAGGGACTTGCACCCACCATTAGAAATGTGGAATTTCCATTCACGGTCTGGTCAGCCCAAAGTGATGAGCAGTATCCCAGCGAGATGCCTTCATGAAATCTCTTGAATTATTTCAACATTCACCAATTACTTGCGTTCGCGTTCTTGTGAGTTTTAATAAAGGGGGATTTTTGAGCGTCCGTTGATGTATTTGATCGACTTCAGACAAACGACCTCAGAGCCCGATCAATAAGTGATTTTCTTCAGGTCTTGGCTTAAAGTATTGTAAAATGGCAACCTGTCTCCAACGTCGATATTTTCCATCGGCGGCTATTTTTCAACATGCCACATATGCGCGTGTCCTCACTCGCGCAGCAGAACGCCCAACTCGCAGGGGGTTAAGTGGTTTCAGATTTTCATTTCGCGGTCTTAAGAGTTTCTCCTAATGCATCGGCGCTTATCTGTGCATGCAGTCAGGCTTGTCGGAAGCTTTGTTAACTACGGATATTTTTTTTTTACTTACAAAACTGAACACTCTGTACATACATGTATCAGCAGCTTTGAATCAATGTATATTTTACGGTGCTTTCATGAACAGCATATTACAGGAATAACATTGGTAAGGTTGTTGCTTCCATGGGCTAATCAGATGCCTGCACTTAGTTGACCTGGCTTATTCAAGGCCAGCTCTCCTGATTCAAACCCAGGCTGTCGGTGGCAGTAGTGGCTTAGTGCTCAAGCGTGGGAATTAGGACCCGGCTTTCCAGTTGAACCCGAGTCTCGCTGCATCGAGGCCGATGGGCGGTCGTGAAAATGCTTGCCACACACTTATTGGCTGCATGTGCTGCCTGGGTCTTGTATGCTTCGTAAGTGGGCCTATATTTACTGTTAATATTTGTATGATAGCGATTGCCTTAATTTGGCTGATGTTGATGTAGAGTAACAACTATAATTTTTGTGTTGCTGCGGATTGTGTTGCTGCGACGATAAAGTCGGGCATTGAGTCGCTTTATGTCCCACGCTTTTGTTCTGGGTGGTGGCAGCGGTCACCTTCACACTGCGCATCATCAAGCTTCCGCTGATGCTGCTAACGTGGTTTTCGTGCGAATGCGTTTTTTTAGCGTAGCTGACCGTAACCTTCACGGAAGATCTAGGTCAGGGATCTTCTGCGTCAGGTCATCCACAATGCTATAATGAGTTCCTCCGTGTTCGGTGCAAGAGTTTGGGCCTCATTCAAACTTGGTTCCTTCCCTGCTGCTGCTGCTGCTGCTGCCTGCTGCTGTTGCATCTGCAGCAGGACGACCCCTGAGGTGCGGCGAGCGAGGTGAATGAAGGACGCAGCGGCGAGAGCTCTCACCCCGTCGTGGTCCGTTGCCGCCGCCGCCACTCACGTTGAGCAGGTGCGGATCTTCGCGTTGTTCTAACCGTTTTGCACCAAAGGGATTGTCGGTGGAGGGTTTGTACGTGTGTATGTATGCATTTTGAATTTCTTTTGCACCCTACGTAGCCAACCGTGCTCATCGGAGGTGAGGGGGGGAAAGGACACCAAGCTAAACACAACAAGCAGTTCTAAAGAAATTAGTTTCAAATCTAGATTTAAAAGTGCGTAGCTCCAGTGGCTTCCTAAAATCGTGAGGAAGAGCGTTCCAGACGGCCGCGGAAAGTGTATCTGCATTGCTGACTGGTTCCAACGAGAATGCCGCACGATGTCGAGGCTGTCAATCAGACGTGACACTGCCTCCGGGTCACCAGACTGTTCACATTGTCGAAGTAGCTCAGCACACTCACCATCTAGGCACAGGGTGTAGATGGAATAAACACCACGTGGTTATGGTCTTTTGTGGCTGCTTTTTGTCAGTGCCCCCCGTAAAGCGCGGGTACGCTTCACTCTATTGAGATGGTGCTCGGGATGTAGGACGATGCTACGCTCTACCACCGCAGTGTGGTCTGTCCACTGTGCCTTGCGGAAGTTCCAGCGGGGTTTTTCAGGTGCTCCTGATGATTGGTAGCTGTGGTCCGATGTGGACAAACGATGGGCGGTGTCGACTCCTGGGGAAGTTGTTCGGAACGCTGCACGACGCTGGCATTTGATGGCCGTGAGCTGCGCTGGCCCAGCAGAGGTCCGGTGAATATTCCACCTGGCTGAGTGGAAGCTGCCGCGCTGTTCGGGGGTCGTGTAACCAGGTGAATGTCGCAACGCGATGCCCGTTCCCACAAGCGCCTCGCCGTTTTCATCAGGCCGCTGCGTATCCCCCCACTTTTTATGGCGGCTGTTTGTATACATTGCAGATAGTATGAGCGCGCCAATGCGTACTGCATCGCAGGCAAGAGAGGGTGGCAGTGGCTCGACGCTAAACAATTCACATTTCACATTCATTGCACGGCCATATTCTGGGTAAAGTCAGTAACAGACAAGGTCATACATACCCAGCTGTCTGGAAACGCCCCGCCTGGTCATCTGAAATATGTCGATATTGTGTGTTGTGGCTAAATTATGCATGAAGTCGCTTTCAGCCACAGGATTGTCCTTCCACATTGAGCCGAAGAACAACACGGAGTGCTGGCCCTACAGCCCTGGAGAACTGAGGCCTGGGCAGGAGGTGTAACTGTGGCCACGTGCTGGCCGGTATCGTGACGATTCGGCCAGCTAGCTGCAGCTTTGGTTTCCCCAGACATGGCTGACGTGGCCGGTTACTTGCAAGGGGACACGACAAGGACGTGGCCGCATTTGTCCCCAATTGCCTGTTGATTGCATCAAAAGTGCTCTTTTTGTAGTCGTGATTTGTACCCGCGGAGTGGACCTGCATGCCCATTGTGGGTAATGTTTGCTCAAGTTGTGTCGATGCTTGGTACCACAGCGAGCGGGGAGAGCAGTCGCGGCTCTGAACAAGTGGCGGAAAGTCGATATTTTATTATTGTGCCAGGGCCATAGCTGCCGTGACTTCCCAAAACCTAGTAACTGCAGCAATTTTTGAGGAACGATGAGTTGAGTGAACCTCAAATGGGATATTTAAATTTGAAGCCTCCAGGTGGCTCGGCGGCTCGCAAGCTGAAGGCTGTGAGTTCAATTCCTGGTTGGAGCGGGCACTCACTCAGGCCATCACCAGTGGTTGTTCTATGGATAAACTTGCCCCCTGCCACAGGAATGTGGAATTTCCACCACCGGCTCAGGGTGGTAAACAGGAGATATTTTAACACGCAGGCTTTTGCGACCAATATTCTCCTTAATAATGTTTTTTTTTTGGGTTGGATCTCATAAATATAAATGTGTCGTTAAACCCGCCATCACCCGACACAGCTGTGGGTTTACTCTCCAACACACCGGTGGGCTGAAGTAGTAAACTTATTGGCACGTTGTGTTTACGTGCCAAACCGTACTAATTATGGAAAACAGGAGATGGTCACTGCCTCATTGCGAGTCAGATGCACCGACATGGCACCTCCCGGCTAGTGCAAGGGGAAGTTTGTAGCGCTACAAAAACGATAACTGCTCATGCGTTTGATCAATTTAAATACTGAATTAGCAATTTGTTTTTGTTCTAACCCGTTCCCTTTCAACTGCTGCATTTTTTGTTATTGCGATAAAGCCACGGGGACTAGCTGAGACAGTGCAGTGACTGATCCAGCGAGAACACGCGAAGGTTCGGGCTGCTGAGACAAGCACACGGTGGCGAGATGTTAACTCCCTCGCCTGGTACGCAGGAGGTCATGGGATTGACCCTGGCCCTGACGATGCTTGTATATTTGGAGTTTCCTGTTCTCACTGTGGTCGCTTGGATTTTTCTCCGGGTGCTCCAGTTTTTCCCCTCCACATTTAGAATCAACACATGTTTAGAGCATTTGTCTGCCAAACATTGCCACGTGTTGATAATCCACTTCGTTGAGCTATCATTTGTGGCCAGGTCGCTTCTGAAAAAGAGTTGTATAGCTCAGTAGGCCCCTTACCTTGTAAAATAAAAAAGTATAGTTTTTTGTTTTTGTTTTAGATAGATGTGAGTTTGTGGGAATGTGACAAAGGTGTGCTGTGTAGTGCTCTTATCAACTCGGGCCCTTACATTCCTTCGCACTCTTTCACCCACGGCTCGACGGCTCTCATCCATTTAATCTTCGCCTCCCCCCACCACCCCTCCTTCCCGAGACTCGAGCCTTGTGGTGCAAAAGCGCAGCTCCGGGGTGATCCGTGCGATCGACCAATCGGGGCACATGTTATCGCCTCTCCGCCAACGGTGCGTTTGATGAAGCGAACATGCGCTTGGTGAGGAGGATGGAGGAGGAAGGAGGTGGTTGTAGGCGCGGTGACTTCCTCGCACCTCCGGGAGTGTTTTCCTGCCCAGGTGGAGCATCGAGGCGGCGCTTGTCTCTGGATCGTAGCCCTGAGCCAGTGGTGGAAATGACATTTCTACGAGGGGCCGAGTCTGTCCATATGACAAACCGTTATTGACTTCCCCACAAAGTGGTACTCTTTTTAGCGACCCGGTGGGATGATGGGCTGAGTCAACACCCCCCCACCACCCACATGCCACGAGTCTCAGCTCTGGCGCTGAGACTAGTGGCATGTGGATACATTTTTGATGCATTACTGCGGTGTGGGAGAGAGAGAGTGTTTATACAAATACTTTGTCAGCAATGGTACGGGGAGTTTTGAAACGTCAACCAAGCTGTTTTGTACGTCGAACTAATTCAACGAGTTTCCCATTAGGAGGCCAGCGTTTGGAAGAATGGTATTTTAAAAAAAAATATTCTTCCACAGTGAGGGAATTAATGATTTATAATAATAGTTTCATATTTATATACACATACCTATCCTTCTAAAACTATATACGTGCTATGGATGCACTGGTTCCTACCATAGGAATGTGGAGTTTTCACTGCTGTATCGGGATTCGCAAGTTTACTTGAGTATTTCAACATGGAGGCTTTCACGACCAATATCCATAACCCAAATTAATTCATAAACCTGAATTAAATATGCAGAAGAGTATCCTAATCATGTCAAGCACGTGGACTTTTGTGATGACAACTCCATTAACTTCCAAGCGCTTGTGGCTCACAGTCTCAGTCTCACAGTCTCACGTGTCGTTGTGCTGATCGACTAAAATATAAATGCGTCGACATTTGAGCATTGTCAAAATGCTCGCTATGAGCAAGGAGACATTCGGCTTCCTGTTTGTAACCCTGAAGGCTCTTTCACCCCATGCTCCCACTGTGATCGTAACACCGCGGTGTCAAAACAGCCGTTCTTAATGTCGAGTGGAACGTGTCGCTGCTCAAGCGTATGGCAAAAACCGTGGGTTAAGGGGGGGGAGGTATGTGCGAAGGTGATGCTGAAGAACACCCGTGCCTCGCAACGGCGCTTGCAATTGGAGCACGCGCGCCGTGCCCACTAGCGTTGCGAGAACACGAGTCATGGATGTTGCCGCAGCATCTCAAATGTATGTAAGGCAAGTATCATGCTGGACGGGGATGTACTCACGAGCGACGGGTTCTTAGGAGCTGAGCCTCATAAGGGCGTGTCGAGGATTATCAGCATTGGGTGTAAATGGAAAAAATTATCCCGCTACGAAGCTCAGGCAGACCGTCGGCCGTGAGGGGAGTTTTTGTTGTTGTTTCTTGCGCGATATTAACCAAGGACACATTTGGTGAGTTTTGAGCGTCGTGCTACCAGCATTCTGTGGTTGGGGCCCTGGTCGCTGAGCCTCAAGTGGAACTATCTCGCCATCACCCAAAACAATCGCATGCCGTACGGTTATTTTGTTGTTTCAGTTTCATGTAATCAGGCGAGGGGCCCCACCAGCATTCATTAAATATATATGTGTGTCTTGCAAAGGAGTCGGTCGATCCGGCATGTTGTGTGTGGTGGGGTAAAGTGTGTGCAACTCCGACCTGTACGATTGTTTGACACCGAGAGAGTTCCTGGTCGCGGAGGGCCCTTTTGGCAGCTGTGACGTGAGCAAGCACTTGCAGCGCTGCGCCTTTGCCACTCCTGTTTAGCTATACAATGGAGACCTGAGCAACTGCACTGTGGCTTTGTTGGCACAAGTTCCACTTAATTTGTGAATTCGTTTGAGGTAATTGTCAGACTTTGGATGTAAGCCGTTTACGCAGGCAAGAACCTCCTTGTTACTGGTGCCACTGGACTTTATAAACACCACTGTTGTTGCACAATTATCACGCAGGCATTAGCAGGCGGTTGAGGACACTGAACCGCCAGAATTTGTGCGATGGTTATTTGTTGCGTAATTCTAGCGTTGAGAAGCAGCGGTCCGACATCCAATCAGAATGTTGCGAGTTCAAATCCTAGTTGGGGGGGGGGTCAACTCAGGCAATCATCCCAATGGGTGAGATAAAATGAGTACCACCTAGTGGGGGAAAGGGACAGTAGTGGATGTCCGGTCCGACT